ATATCACAGTGTGTGTGGTGTTCAACCGAGCTCTCAGCCTGTTGAATGAGACGACAGAAAGCGAGGTGACGTAAACACGGACAGGAATCCAAATACAGAGACAAAAAAAAAAAAAACTGTCAAAACTCACCAGAAAGTCTGCTGGATGTTTAAAAGTACTATGGAATTGTTTTTCCTCTAGTAAAAATAGTCCACAAACGATCAGCATTGTTTCTTCCTTGTTGCAAATGTTTATTTACTCTGAACTCACGTCTCTCTAGGACATCTGAATTCTTGTGAAATTTCAGGAAGTCTGACGTGATTTAATATCTGACGTCTGAATGTTCATGGATGAAATATCTGTTGGTGTGTGGTGTGTTGTTTCTTGCCGTGTGGCTGTACACCACACACTGTAGGACCAAACCTGGTATATTCATGATTTTTCATCTTCATGTGTGGAGTCTCTCAGTCTTTGAAAATTGGCTGACTGTTTTAAAATCTTGTAGTGTGACTCAGCCTTTAAACATGCAGGGCAGTGTGTCTTGAGGACCAGGGTTGAAAAACGCTGGTGWAGAGTTCACTCTGGAGTCTGATGGAGGTCACATTTAAAATATAATGTGAATGTTCACACCAAAAAAATCAGATTTTTAAACAAACACTAAGTTGAGCATTAAGATCTGCAGTGTGAATGCAATCTAACAGACTTTAGGAGACTAAAGACTTCTGTTTAAAACAGARCAGAAGGGCTCAGCGGCACCAGGGAAGGAGCTGTTGATGACTGCATGAGCCGCTCTGTTGTTGGTTTCTGTGAGGCTCAGGGAGATTTTCAGATAAGTGCATCTCCCAAATCAAGCACACATGGTAAGAAACACAGGAAGACCTTAACAGCAGCTCCAGGAAAAATCTGCTAATTTGTACTTAAAACAAAATGTTCTAGTAAAATATATTAATACTCAGGATGACACATTCTTCTACCAGGATCCCTCACACATAATTTTCTTTTCTAAATTAGGATTAATCAATCCATCTTCTTCCACTTATCTGTAGTCGGGTTGTGAAGGTAACAGGTCCAGGAGAGAAACCCAGACCTCCCTCTCTCCAGCGACACTTTCCAGCTCATCCTGGGGGACCCCGAGGCGTTCCCAGACCAGAGAGGATGCATAATCCCTCCAGCGAGTTCTGGGTCTTCCCCAGGGCCTCCTACCAGTGGGACATGTGGAACACCTCTAAAAGGAGGCATCCTAATCAGAAGAACCACCTCAGCTGACTCATCTCGATGTGGAGGAGCAGCGGCTTTACTCCGAGCTCCTCCCAGATGACGGAGCTCCTCCCCCTATCCCTAAGGCTGAGCCTGGCCACCCTACCAATGAAGCTGATTTCAGCCACTTGTATCCAGGATCTGGTTCTTTGGGTCATGATCCACACCTCATGACCACAGGTGAGGGGTGGAACGAAGACAGACCAGTAAATCCAGAGCTTTGCCTTTAGACTCAGCTCTTTCTTCACCACAACTGACTGAAGCAACGTCCTCATTACTGAGGATGAGGCCCCAGTCCATCTCCTGCTCCATCCTACCATCACTCATAAACAAGACACCCAGATACTTAAACTCCTCCACTTGAGGCAGAGACTCTCTCTGACCTGGAGGGGACATTCCACCCTGTTCCTGTCAAGAACCATGKCCTCAGACTTAGAGGAACTGACCTTCATCCCAACTGCTTCACACTCWGCTGTGAACCGCCTCAGTGCATGCTGAAGGTCTTGGACTAAAGACAMCAACAGAACCACATCATCTGCATACAATAGAGACGAGACTCTGTGGTTCCCAAACCAGACCCCTCCTCTCCATGACTGCACCTTGAGTACCTGTCTATAAATACTACAAACAGGATCAGAGACAAGGGACAGTCCTGGAGTCCAACCCTGAGAACAAGCTCAACTTTGTGCCAAGAATGCAAACTCAGCTCCTGCTTTGGTTCTACAGGGACTGGATTGCTCTTAGTAGCAAYCCAGAGACTCCATACTCCCRCAKCATCCCCCACAGAATGCCTTGAGGAACACGGTCATAATCCTTCTCCAAGTCTACAAGACATGTAGACCGGAGAGGCAAACTCCTACGACCCCCTTAGCAACTCTGCAAGGGTAAAGATCTGGCCCACTGTTCCACGTCCAGGACAAAAGCCACGCTGCTCCTCTTGAGTCCGAGGTTCAACAATTGATCGTAGCCTCCCTTCCAACACCCTGGAGTAAACTTTCCCGGGAAGGGTGAGAAGTGTGATCCCATAATGTTTAGAACACACTCTCTGATCCCTTTTTTAAAAATGAGAACCACCACCCCAGTCTGCCACTCCACAGGATTTGTCCCAGTCCTCCATGCGATGTTGAAGAGATGTGTCAACCATGACAGCCCTACAACATCCAGAACCTCCAGGATCTCTGGGTGAATCTCCTCCTCCCCTGGTGCCCTGCCACAAAGGAGTTTTTTGAYTACCTCAGTGACCTCTGCCTCCACAAAGGTGGACATGGAGGATGGATTCAGGAGATCCTCAAAGTGTTCCTTCCACCATGATATCCTCAGTCCTGGTCAGCAGTTCCCCACCCAATCCAAGTACAGCCTGGGACAGGGAGCGCTTTCCTTTTCTGAGTCGTCAAACGGTTTGCCAGAACCTCCTCGAGGCCAGTCGAAAGTCCGTCTCCATGGCCTCCCCGAATTCCCGCTACGCCCGAGTTTTTGCATCTGCAACCACAGAAGCTGCAACCTCTTTGGCTCCCTGTACCTGTCAGCTGCTTCAGAAGTCCTCCAGGAAAGCCAAGTCCTGAAGGCCTCTTTCTTCAGCCTGATGGTCTTCAWCACCGCTGGTGTCCACCAGTTGGTCTTTTGGTTGCCGCCRTGACAGGCACAGATGACATTTAAGATTAATGCTTGAGAAAAACAAATTTTCTGACTTTTCTAACAGTTAGGCCGGCTGCTTGTTTAATTAGTCAGGGAGCTTATTGAGGAGCACTTTATGTTTTAAAGAATTATTTCTTAACAAGATATTTGATGTTTTGTTGGTTACAGCGGCTGCATTGTTCTTTGAGAAATGAAAACGGATGTTTGTTTAAAAAGTAAAAATGTCCCTGCTCATAACTAAACCTCACAAACAAAAGAGTTTAGCAATACTTAGTGGGACACTGGAGTAAATGTCATTTGGTGAGCTTTCAGTGATATCCTAATGGATTATTTTTGCTTCACTGGTTTTAGAAGTTATTATTACATCACATCAGGATTTATTTAAAAAGTAAAGCAAAGTGCAGAAAGAGCAATTTGTCCTGATTTGAATTTATCTTGAAAARTAAAATGTTCACACACAAAGTGGGGACTCTTATCTGCAGTATTACCCTCCATCTTAGCTGTAGGACAGTTTCTCTTGATCTGTTTCATCTGAAAATGGAGCTAAATCAAACATTTCCTCATCTGGACCTGAATACRACCTTTTGGCTTCAGTGAAAAAGCTGCAGCTGCCCTGAAGCATCTGATGCAAGTTGAGGGGAGAAGCCTTGACTTCAGGTCAAAGGTCAGCTCYGTCACAAGCAACAAGTTGTAAAAACGTCACAGCGCCACACATCTGAAGTGTCTGCCAGCACAACTATATCTGATCTGAAACCCCATGTTGTTCATGTAAGCTTGTATTAAGCCCCCCCCCCAACTTTCCCTAGTAACAACAGCTTCTCTTAGCATGTCTCCTCCACTTCAGAGGGAGCTGATGATTGGTTTATATTTTTATATCTAATTGCTGTAGATGAGCACCAGCGGGTGTTTCAGGTGGTGGGTGTAGGACAGGAATCTGTGGCAGTGTGTTAACTCAAACTGAGACTCAGGAAACCAGGACATGGTGCAATGAATTCTCTCACTATCCTTAGTTTTCTCTGTCTTCATCTATCCGTCCCTCCTGCTTGAGGAGCTTTGAAAAATGCAATAAATACAGAAAAAGGGACATTTCTTTATAAAATACTTTGAGAAAAAAAAAGACCCAAAGCAAAATGAATACAAATACTGAGTTTACTATTCAGATGCTTATTTTTCAAAAACATTTTAGGTTTTATCTGCTGATCTTCAGACGTATTTGAATGTTAAGTTGAAGTTTGTGATTTCAGCAAGAYGAAGAGCTGGAGAGATGACAAACAGGAGGTAGAAGATAGAGGCTAAAATTAGATGCTACATGTAATAATGTAATAACGTTCGATGCTGACATTAAAACATGACCGTGGGCTCAAAGGAGCAGTGAGAAAAGAAGATGCTGCTGAATGCCACAGATACRCTACAACCAGACTGTTACACTACAACACTGTAGGATGTGCTGTGGTGAGGTTAGACAAGCCTTCAAATCAACAAACACAACAACATGCATCCTAAATGTTACACCATTCATGTTCATCACATTATGACCCACAGACAGGTGAGGGATTTAAACATTTTTTAAAGTTTGAAGAGTGTTCAGGTATGAAGCATTCTAAAAGCTTTTTAATTATTTTTTATTTTAAAGCTTCTTTGTTACAAGCAGCCATCAACGTTCCTAAACTGATACTTTTTCCACGGTTTTCTCAGGACAGGCAGGGAAAATACCTGATGAAGGAAATCATCACCAGTCAGAGACACTTGTTTAAATCCATCAGGTTGTGTTGATGCAGCATTCTGACCTGTTGCTTTAACACACACACACACACACACACACACACACACACACACACACACACACAC